TTCAAAGGAGCACATGAACTATTTTCTTTAAATGAGGAGGAACTTTTATAACCCCCATTCTGGAGATGTTAAGAGGCATAGGCCTGGTGTCTGTTGTTTTTCCAGATGGTGACAGCAACAATCTGAGGAGAGCAGGCTTCCTGACACACATGTCACATCAGTGACTGTGCTTCTTCACCCATGCCACCTCATGTGCTTCTCTCCTAAGAGTCTGAAAGAGACACCTACTGGCTATGGAGGAAACACTGAGGTTTCAAAGTGCCATCTACCAAGCAGTCAAGGTTAGGGACAGACCTTTCTGGTGGAGCTGATGGACTTCGTGCTAATCACACTTGCCCTGTAGGCTGAGGGCTGGAGACTGCACATGGAGCCAGACTGTTTTTTACTAGTAAGGGCTGAGACCCTTCAGGAGTGTTCCTGGGAAGCTTTCCGCACTGCTTCAGAAGAAATGATTGCAGAGACATGTCCACTAGGACACACACATAACCCAGATGCACTGCATTATGGTTGCCTTGCCCCCCCAGGAAGAACACAGTCCAGTCCACACTCCATAACCACTACAGGGTGGCCACACATAACTACACTCTAGAAACCATGTTAATAAGAGATTATACTCACTAAAAAAAAATTTCTTAAGTCAGTAGGGCTGGGAACTAAGCCTAGAGTCTCATGCATTTTAGACAAAGAACTCTACCACTGAGCTACGCCTAAAAAATACTTTTTTCCCCAAAATCAGAGCTGGAGAGGTTTTTAAAGGCTTAAAAAAATAAGCACATTTCCAAAATATCATTTATATTAAGTATATAATAAAGAAACTGTTAATATTTTACACTAATTTTCTTCATTCTTAGTCCTCCATGTACACTTTATACTTGAGGCACATCTCAACCATGAACTGGCTATGTTGTACCAGCTTGGTAACCACTCATGGGAGTGGCCCAAGATGGGCAGTGTAACAATAGGCCAGAAGCCCCTGGTTCAATTTCCTGAATGGTGGAAAAAGGAATGGAGAATACTGTGATAACAATTTGTGTACATATGCCAATTAAAGCAGGACACGGGGCCAAGGAGTCAACAATGGTAGAACACTTACCTAGTATGCATGAAGCCCTGGCTTCAATCGCTGGCAACCCCCAAGCAAACAACAACAGAAACACTGAATCAGGGCAGGGGGCACATCTCACATAGGGATATGTCTTCTCAGACATACTTTTAATCACTCTTAATTTAAAATGTAATTATGGTCCCCTCTACAACTCACCTGTTACCAACCAATTTAATGGTAAAATATGCCAGGATTGGGAAGCATCTGCTCCATCATGGCCATCCAAATAAGCTGATGTGTAGTAGAGTGCACAGCTGTCAATGGCTATGCTGCTTTTCCATGAAAAAGCACAGTACAAACAGTAGCCACATGAACTTGAGAAAAGCATTCATTAATAGCCCACCAACAGACCAAAACAAAAAAAGTACTTACTTCTTCTTTTTTGATGTAATTAACATTTATGAAGCACTCGAGTAGCATGTCTTTAATTTCTCTATTTTCCTCCAAATTATAATCAAAGCAGTATAGAGCCTGATGAATGCGCCAGATCCGACACACATTTGCACCCTAGGAGATGCACAGGACAATGTCGTATTCTGCTTAGTTCCTATCTTTTATGAATAATAAGGTTGTATTTCAAGTTAAGTATATTCTATATATTAAATAATGAAGATTGTAGAATCACCAAAATGTAGGAAATATGGTAAGTAAAAACATTTTAAAATTTGCAAACACCTCTTACAGTTCCAGAAAGCACTCTAATTTTGATTTTGAGTTGTTTTTCTTTGCTGTTGTTGTTTTGTTTTCGTCTTTTTGAGACAGGGTCTCCCTGTAGCCCCAGCTGTCCTAGAACTTGCTATGTAGACCAGGCTGGCCTCAAACTTACAGAGATCCACCTGCCTCTGCCTCTGAAGTACTGAAGTTTTGGGATTAAAGACATGCACCACCATGCCTGGCTAAAACCAAGTTTTGTAGTCCTTTCCAGGAGTCATGCTCCTGTTTCACCTGCCAAGCTAAACAACCCCAGAAAAGCCTCAGTTTGCTGTGGACCTGACCAATGCATTAAGACCTACAAAATCTATGTAAATGTCAACCATTGGTGAATGAGGATGGTTGTATTTTCTCATTTACATAAAAAAGGGAGACTGGCATTCTGCTGCCCTCCAGAAGCATACTCAAATGGGGGAGACCAGGCTGGCCTTGAACTCACAGAGATCCACCTGCCTCTGCCTCCCGAGTGCTGGGATGTTGTTTGTTTTTTTTTAAATAGGTCTCAGGTAGCCAAGGTTGGCCTTGAACTCACTATGTTACCAAGGCTGACTTCAAACTCCTGATCCTGCTGTCTCCACCTTCTAAGTGCTGAGATTATAAGTGCATGCTACCACACCTGGCTTAGAGAACACTTTTTAAACACAAACAAAAGCAATCAGAAATTCACACTGTTCAACACAATATCAAGAAGGATGTTCAATAGTTACTGTTTTGTTTTTTTTCTAAACTAACATGCTCCCAATGCAACTAAAGACCAAATTTTTCATTAAATTTGAAAAATATCTTACCTTGTCAGAGGGTAGTGTAATGAACAATGCAGATTTAGAATTATCACAAAAACATTAAAAACAGAATCTTGAGAGCTCAAGAGATGGCTCAGCAGGTAAGAGCACTTGCTGCTCTTGCAGAGAACCAGAGTTTAGATCCCAGTACATGGTGGCTTACAACTTTCTGTTAACTCCAGTTCCAAGGTGAGATTGACACCCTCTTCTGAATTCCAAGGGCACCAGGCACACGTGTGGTATGCACACATTCAAGCAGACAAAACACACATACACATAAGAATAAATCGTTAAAAAGTTAAATCGTTAAAAAGAATAAATCGTTAAAAAGAAGTCTTGAGGGCTAGAAAGATGGCTCAGCAGTTAAAAGCACTGGCTGCTCTTACAGAGGACCTGGGTTTGATTCCTAGCACCCACATGGTGGCTAACAACCATCCATAACTTCAGTTCCAGGGGAATCCAACATTCTCTTCTGACCTTCTCTCTCGGGCACTGCACAATACAACTGCACTTACACGCAGGCAATACACTCATATCCATAAAATAATAATAAATAAAATATTTTTTAAATAGTCTTGATTTAAAAGCCGAACAATACTGACAGGGAAAATGGATTTTTTAAATAGATTTTATTTTTATTTTATGTGTATGAATGTATTGCCTACACGTACGTAATTATACCCGTGTCATGCAATGCCCGTGGACATCAGAAGAAGGCATGAGACCCTCAGAACTGGAATGAAGGATGGTTGTTAACCACCATGTGAGTGCTAGGAACTGAACCGGGGTGCTCTGCAAAAGTAGTCAGTGCTCTTAACCACTGAGACATCTCTCCAGCCCCAGAAAAATAGATGTTAAAAAGACAAATTAGCTGGGTGTGGTGGCACATACCTTTAGTCCCAGTATTCAGGAGGCAGAGGCAGGTGGCTCTCTGGGAGATCGAGGCCAGCCTGTTCTACACAGTGAGCTCTAGACCACCTGGGGCAACAGAGAGATTCTTTCCAAAAAAAAAACCAAGAGAGAGAGAAATCAATAATGGCATGAAAATATAGTTCTGAACTAAAATAAATTGGCAATTTCTCAGTCATCCCCTTCACCAGCAGGGAAAAATCAAACTGATCATTTAGTACAGACCAAAAGGGCTTCTCTGTCCTAACCCTGACTGCTCTTTGTAGAGGGTTTCCTGAGGCCCTCAGTCATCTGTGGAAATGTAAGACAGAAGCCCTCTAAGAAGCAATTGGCAATGTACATCAAAAGCCCTCAAGTTCACATCCATTGGGATCTGTCCTGTAGAACTAGACACTGTGGGAGAGGGTCAAAATAGCCCAGTGTCCTAAAGTTATAGTCACCTTGGGTGGTAGAATTTGGGTGATTTTTATTTTCATCTGCCCAACTAAGCTAAGCAGAGATTACTGCCTTGAACAGGGAAGCAATTCCTTTCCTAGATTTCTGGACTGTATACCAAAGACTGAGGTTTGAGAACTAGCATAAGTTACAGGCAACTTTTCACATTTTCCCATGGCTCAGCCCCAACTTCCCTAGTACTGCACTGTGATATGAGATAGTTCCCATTACAATCCTGAATCATGCCTATGTTTTGTCCAAGACATGGCAGTCCTGCCCTGGAGTATGTCTACTTCTCAGAGGACCACAGGGAAACAGGTACCCCTCCCACTGCCCAGCCAATAGCTCAACTGTGCCTTGCTTCTACGGCAGAGGAGTCCATGGGCAAACCTTATATTCTGAGGAAGTCTGGCCTTCCTGAACCCCCACTTTCTCTTCATTTCTAAAATGGTATCAGATGGTAGAGGTGGAGAAACTGCCTTCTCACCATGAAATGACCAGAAGACAGCAGCCACATCCTGGGGCAGGAACACTGAAGAGTAAGCAGCCACCCTGAACACTTTGTATCTTTGTAAGAAACTCCCCTAAGCTGGGGCGAGATGGAATCAGGACCCTTTCTGGCTAATTGAACCCTCACTAAATATTTCCTAAACAAAGAAAACATACTGTTTTGGTCTCTAGACTCCTCCTCAGCAGCATGAGAAATGCAGTCTTGCCCATGTCCTCCTTGGCAGGCAGGCCCTTCTCCCACCACCTCACACACAGATCCTGAACGGAGCTCTGGAGTTCTCGCTCAGATTCAGGTAATGCATATAAAATACCTAAAAGAGAGCACAAAGACTTTCTGTTATTAAGCAAATTCTTATCAGTATAGAGTATTATGACCTGGTATAAAGTTTTATTAAGCAAATATTAATGTTTAATCTGTCAAAGATTTATATACATCATTTACAGAATGTCAACGTTTAGGAAAAAAACTGATTTACGAGTATTACAAAAACAGACCCAACAAAACAAAGAACTTTAGACCCCAAAGTCTCACACTGATACATCTTCATGTCAGCACAATTCTGCTTCTACCAGGTCCTGATCACCAATCTACCACAATCGTCCCTCAAACTGCTGGCCTCAAATATAGGTTGAAAGGTGGACAACAAAGAGATTAACGATATAAAAACCATCTTGTTTTAATAAACAGGGCTGGGGGTGGTGGCACACACCTTTAATCTCAGCACTCAGGAGGCAGAGGCAGGCAGATTCTGTGAGACCTAGGCCAGCATGATCTACATATTGAGTTTCAGGCCAGCTTGGGGTCTACCAGGAGACTCTGTCTTAAAAAAACACAAAACAGGATAGTGATTTTATAAAGAGTAAAGCTCAATAATTAACATGATAATAACATGTTCATAATTATTTGCAGATGCCTGAATGCCATTATATAAATGTAAAACTCCTCAATTAATTGGGAGTCTGGAAATAACCACAATGCTATCACTCATTTTACCAGTTATTTGGAGACTACAAATAAACCAGTAGTAAAATTCACAAAGTACCTAGGAACTATTTTTATACTGATTAGGGTAACAAGATGCTGATCTCAAGAACTCCAGACTAAAGCAGCAACCTAAAAAGACATACAGATAGCCAAGTGATGCTAAGACAGAACTTGATGAGAAAACTTGTGCCAGAAAAGTTACCACACTGAGGAATAAGAAACTTAAAAATGTTGTGGGGTTTTTTGGTTGTTGTTTTTGAGACAGGGTCTCCCTACCCAGCTGGCCTTTAACTCTCAGAGATCCGCCTGAATCTGCCTCCCAAGTGCTGGGACTAAAGGCATGCACCAGCATACCCGGCCCATAACCACTACTTTTCTAAGCTCACTTAAAAGAACTATAGGAGTCAATAATAACTTCACAGATCACATTCATACTCTAAGAAAAAATTCAGTGTCACAAATTCTTGGTTCTATTGATGTTGTGTGGCAACTGCATGAACTGAGAAGTCTACAGTCAGGTATGTTCCTCAAATAAGCCCGTTATCACTGGTTCTGCAAATCAAGTCACATGATCCTGAAGAACTGTAACAGTGAGCTGCTCAGAACTCCACAGCTTCGCCTCCTACAACACTGAAACAGAGCCTAATTAAATGATTGCTCAGGATGCCCTGAGAGCTTGAATGCAAAGACAGAACTTTAAACTTCTGCTTCTGCATGCCACATGCTCATGAAAACACGTGGCTTCCTTTTACAAGGTGTCATATTAGTACCCGTGTTGAATATTATGTTCCCAGGTGTTCACACACCTGGGAAGAGGTAACTGTCTCTATGGGACTGACCTGTGGACAAGTCTGTGAGGCATTTTCTTGATTGCTGAGGTGGGAGGGACCAGTGCACTGTGCGTGGTGGTCTTGGGTTGTATAAGAAGGCTGAGCACCACTCTACCACAATCATCCCTCAAAGTGCTGGCCTCAATATAGGTTGAAAGGTGGACAACAAAGAGATTAGCAATATAAAAACCATCTTGTTTTAATAAACAGGGCTGGGGGTGGTGGCACACACCTTTAATCTCAGCACTCAGGAGGCAGAGGCAGGCAGAGAAGCAAGGCAGTAAGTAGCGTTCCTTTGTGGTCTCTGCTTCTACTTCTGCTCCCACCTCCAGCTCCTGCCTGCCCTGGCTTCCCTCACTGATGGACTGTGATTGGGACATGTAAGCCAAATAAACCCTTTCCTCTCCAAGCTAGTTTTGGTTAGTATTTTATCACAGCAACAGAAAGAAAATTAGGACAGAAACTGGTACCATGATCACGGGGTATGACTGTGAAGTACCTGCCTATTATTTTTTTTGGCAGGATTGTGGAAGCATTTGGAACCTATGGCTGGAGAGAAGTGTGTAACACTTTATAAGCTGTTGCTGTGGAGCATGGGGCAGTTATGCTAAGAGAAATGTGGAAGATGGAGACCTAGCTTGTAACATTTCATAGGGAAGCAAAGATCTACTCGGTTGTTCATGTGATATATTTGTGGAAATATATATTTATGATATATTTTGTGCTTTACTGGAAAAGCAATGCTGGTTAGCTGGAGCTGAAAAAACCAGCTGTGATAAGAGACCAGCATCATTAAAACGCTGTCTTCTGGGAAGAATTTCCTCAGGGTCAGCACACAGGAGCTGGGGGTGGGGGACCTACATTCCAAGTTAGAACCTGGACTTGGTAATGTGTACAAATGTGCCATTTGGTATTGGTTTTGGTGGCATGAAAGTTGCAGAACTGCAGGAGTCATGGGGAGAATCTGAGGTTTTAAAGAGATCATTGGTTAAGTATAGCCTCAGGTGCAGAGGAGACCCCAGTATATTGGAGATGCCACAACCATGGGATGACTTCACCAAGGGTAGTGGCAGGTGAGGAGTGGAGCCAGCCTGAGCCTACAAAACAAGCTGTGTGTGCTGTGGATGGCACAGCCGGAGAAACAGAACTGCCCAAGCCCTTTGGAGCCCAGAAGATTGTGAGTGAACCCCAAATGTCTGATACTGAGCTACACTGCTGTACTTAGTTTTGCTTAAGTGTGCAGAGTTCTTCCTTTTTGAAATAAGAAAGCATTTAACTTTTGAATGTTACAGGAGCCCACAGTTAAGATTTTTGGATTATTTTAAAGAGACAATGAGCTCTGTACTGGAATTTTCAAGGACTGTGGAACTTTTAAACTTGAACTATGGTTTACAGTGTGATATTACCGAGTTCTTGGTGGCAAGAAATAGAAAGGTTATGGTTTAATAGTGATGTGTATATGTGTCAGGATGACAAGGAGTTAACTGTGCTGTCAACTTGATACACCTGGGAAGAGGGACCCTCAATTAGGGAATTTCTCTATCAGACTGGCCTGTGGGCATGTCTGTGAGGCACTTTCTTGAAATTATTGTAGGAGTGCCCAGCCCACTTAACTGGTGTTACCCTTGGGCAGGTGGTGTTGGGTTGTTTATGACAGCAGGTTGAGCACAGGCCAGAGGAGTTAGTCATTTAGCAGCACTCCTCCATGGTCTGTACTTCGAGTCCTACCCTGAGCTCCTGCCTTGGCTTCCCTCCACGACATACCACAAACCGAAAGTAAAATAAAGCCTTTCCTCCCCAAGTTGGTTTTGGTCAGTGTTTTATCACAGCAACAAAAGGCAAACTAGGATAGCCCCACTACTGAAGATGCCACTTACCATTTAATATAACAGCACACTCCAAGAGCGCCCCATAATTCTCACGTTCATTTATCACGGATACAGAAGCAAGAATTACAGAGGTAATTGCATGTATTATTTCTATACTCCGTTTCTAGAGACAAAAAGTTAAAGCATAAGTGAATTAAAATCAGGAACTTAACACTCAATTTTAAAAATAAAATAGTTACTAAATCTCTAAAGCCAAAATAAAGCCACCTCTACCTTATTCTTAAAAAATGGATGAAAATTGAATACAAGTCAAATGTCCTAAAATAATAGTAATACTACAGCTGATTACTGCTGGGTAAGGAAGAGCTGATGTTCTTAAAGGGAGGGATTCTAGATAGGCTGACTAGATCCCAGTGGATGAATTTGCACTGAGGGACATCTGGGGACTAACTTTACATGATAGGCCTTAACAGAAACGACAGAATATATGAACTCCCGTGGGGGTGCTATGGGAGGGGGGGTGCCAAAGGGGAAGGGAGTATAAAGATGATTTTCTATACGAAAAACACAAAAATTCAATAAAAAATTTTAAATAGTATACTAAGTGCTAGATTAATAATGGTAGGGTTGGGAAGTAGGTAAAGCTTCAGTAAACATAACTGACATGTAAAACTTCTGACTTCCAACTTTTTCTTGAAGTTCAATTATTCAAGTAAACAATTTTTTAACACAGTAAAGGGAACATTTATTTCTGAGGACAAATACCATCTTTGGACCATGCTCTGACTCCATAGCATCTTCACTCTGGACCTCCACTGTCTGCCACCCATCCACAGGGCTTTCCAACAAAGTTTCTGTCAGTAAGTCCTTCAGCCTTTGCCATAGTTCTTCTTTCTGTTTCCTTGATAATTCGTCTAGTAGCTCATTTAAGCTAAAAGGGTCAGAAGCATCTTTCTGCAAAATAAAAATTTCAGAAAATTAGTTGAATGCTTTTCATAATGGTATTGTGCTAGACAGCTTTAGTGTTAACGTAACATAACTGGTTAAAGGGAACCTCAACTGAGGAACTGTCTCCACTGGATTGGCCTGCCGACATGTCTGTGAGGCATTATCTTGATTATTGAGCGAGGTAGTGCCACCCCTGGGCAGGTGGTCCTGTACTGTACAGTAAAGCACGCTAAGCATGGCCCAGGGGAGCAAGCCAGTAAGCAGGGCTCCTCCCTGGTCTGTGCACCAGGTTCCTGCCCTGGCTTCCGTTGATGATGAACTATGCTGTAAGCCAAATAAACTCTTTCCTCCCCAACTTGGTTTTGGTCAGTGTTTTCCTAACAGCAATAGAAAGCTAAGACAAAGATCAAAAGAAAAAAATTTAGTGCTAAATTAGTCACATGTTCAAGCATTTGGTTAGTTTTCAAAATCGTTTCCCAACTAGAAAAAGTACAGAATTACCAAACAGAAAGCAGCAAATCCCTCCTCCACCTCTTCTTCCTTAGGATCTTGATCTTTAAAAATTCCACCCACTTAAATCACCAAAATCAATTCAAATGTCCACCTGGGCCTGTTCATCAGGTTTAAAAGTATGCTGGAGTTAAATAATAGCAGTAAGAAGAGCAAAAGCCAAGGGGCCCGATTCCCCTTCCAGCTTCCCAGAAAGGACCCTTCGAATCACCTGCTCCTCATCTCTGGACAGCAGTTTTCTCCCTGCAGCAGTGGGTCCTTCTCATTCACTCCCAGCTTTCTGGACCCAGTCCTCTCACTCCAGGCAGATGAGCCCCCATCACTCTGACAGACTAATAATAACAGCCTACTGATTGTCACAGAGCTATGGAATCCAAAAAAAGGAGACTTTCTTGCAGCCACTCTAGGACAATCTAAGCACAAGTAAGTAACCATAATAAATTATAGCCTACAGAATAAAATGAGTGGCAATGAGGCTATACACTAAGTTAGTTACAAACCATTTATTAACAGCACTGACATGTTGTAAAGCACCAATGAATAAATACTAAAGAAATGTGAAATTCAGAAAACAACCATTTGAGCCAGGTGTACTGGCATATGCCTTTAATCCCAGCAACCAGGAGGCAGAAGCAGACAGATCTCTGAGATCAAGGCAAGCCTGGTCTACATGAGTTCCAGGCCAGCTGGCGCTACAGGGAGATCCTGTCTCAAAAAACAAAACAACAACAAAACCAAAGCATTTGGGGGGGGGGGGTCTTTTTGAGACAGAGTCTCCCTGTAGCTCCAACTGTCCTGGAACTCACTATGTAGACCAGGCTGGCCTTGAACTCACAGAGATCCGCGTGCCTCTGCGTCCCGAGTGCTGGGATTAAAGGCGTGCGCCACCACTCCCAGCCTAACAAAAGCAATTTTATTTGCTATCATTAACAGACTCTGGTGAGAACTGCCCACTGATGCTGAAACAAGCAGACAGAAGTATGCGACAGTGCCCATGGGCTTCCCCAGATTGTCTGTGGTTACAAAAGAGAAGCAGCAAGCTTCCAGGGGAGACTATGGGCATGCACCTACCCAGTTACCACTATTGAACTGAGGAGGTCTTGACTCTGCCAAGTAGTTCCTGTCAAAAGGACACACTGGATCTGACTGGATCAGCTAACAGACAAGAGTACTCTCAAGGCTTCAGGGTTGTGACAAGCCCAGGAAGGCAGACCTAGGACGATGACTGAAGGCAGAGTGTAACACTGGGCTGGATCCTGGGTTAGGAAAAGCAGACTGGAAAGGACACTATTGGAGCAACTGGAAACAAAAACATCTACTGCAGGTAACAGTTAAATGTCCATGTCTTGACGATCTTAATGTGTCTATAAACAATGGAATTTTATTCAGCTGTAAAGAAAACTGAAATTATGAAAATTAAAGGAAAACGGACAGCTCTGCAATAGTATTTTATTAACCAAGGTGAGCTAGACACAAAGACAAAAACCTCTTGCTCTTTCTCATATGCAGATCCTAACTTTTAATGTTCTATATCTATGTAAGTGGATATGAAAGTGAGTACAGACTGTTAAACTACATGGAGACCATGGTAGGACAGGAGGTAGGTGTGCCACAAAAAAACACATGTGACATGCAAGCAGAAAAGAGGCTACTAGGGTAGAAGTACTCATGGGGGCATGCAGAGGAAAATAAAAACTGTTGTTAGAAAAAAATGCCATAATGAAACCTAAAGCGTGGTTTTTTTTTTTGTTTTTTTGTAGTGTATTTATTGACTGCAAGTATGTGAGTGCACCCGTATCGTGCAATGCTGCAGAGGTCAGAATATGGCTTCAGGATCCCCTGGAACTGGAGTAAATGATGGTATACAGCCACCATAAACAGAGCAGCTTTAAAAAAATGCACCCTGAAATATTTGGGGGACAGAATCACATGCCTATAGCTTATTTTAATGATTCCAAAACGATATGTAAATACAAAAGACAAAGAATGCAGCATTCAGTAACCACTGGAAGATCAAAGTGTGCTCTGTGTTGGGGGGTGCCCATGCCGCACACTTGTCAGATGGCAGTATCAGTTACCTTCCACCTTTTGTCTGAGACAGGGTCTCCTCACAGCCTAGAACTTTGCCATGGAGGCCAAGGAGCTGGCCCAAGAGCTTCCGGGCACCTTCCTGTCTCTACCTCCCAGCTCAAAAAGCAAAGCAGACTCAAGATGCCAGGCTTGGCCTTTTAAATGACTTCTTAGGATTTGAACACAGGTCCTCACAAGTGCTTTACCAAGTGAGCCACCTCCCCAGCCCTGTACTCATCTTGAAACTTTAATTCTGCAATTATTCCAATAGGGAGGGAGGAAACAGGAGTCACTGAACAAGAGTCCCTCAACACCCTACAACAAAGGACTCTTGCTCCCTCCCACTACACCAGGAAGGGCCTGCTTGCTCAGGAACAGCTGGTTCCAAGCCCTACCCACAGCAGTGCTTCTCCCTGTCAGCTTTATCACCTCATTTACCTATGGCCTCTACAGCTTGGAAATTACATCCCACCCCACAGCCCCGCTGACTATTCTCGCTAAGGTCCACAATACCCAGGACCCACTCATCCTTGCCACGGACACCCCCTTCTCCTAGCTTACCTCCCCACTCTGGTGCTCCAAACAATGCAGCTATTGCCAGCCTGCAAGGCCCAACCCGCCCTGGCTGATCCATCTCTATTCTCATCCTGCACATTCCTCCATCCCATGAGTGTCCTGTGTCTTCACCACTCCAGTCCTTCCTAAACTCTCTAGGGATCCCTGGAACTGTTTGGCCAAACATCATACCAGCAGGCTTTTTAAAAACCACCCCAGCACTATTGTCCTTCTCCCCTGCTTCATTATCCACATGCCTGGCTGACTCTCCCCCCACCACTGAACATCCACTCCATTTGGGCAGTGCTTCCCCAACACTCAGCACACTGGCCACAAAAAGCATCTGAACATTTTAAGAGGCTAGACCCTCCACAGTACCTCATCCTACCAGTCTGATGCTCCAAGGAGGATGTGGCATAAGGGGCAAAAGGTTCTGCTCATTAACACTTGCTTCAAAACACAATTTGTTCAAATGTTATCAACACAATAGGGAACAATTTGAGTAAAAGGCCAACTTCTGGTGTGCCAATATAGGATTTCACGGACAAGAAACACCAGGTAACCACAGAAAACAGCACCCCACAGACCCAAGTCACCAGGTCACAGAACATATACATCTTGGGCTTCTGGTACCTCAGTCTGTCCAAACTGGACCTTACACTATACATGTGCTCCAATCACTACAAACACAGCTTCAGTCCATAGGCCATAGCTCCCCCACCTCCTTATACCCCCTAGTTTGTACCCTGAGTTCCCTCAAATGCTCATCTCTCTTAGCCTAGTTTATCTTTTTCTTCTCCTCTCCTCTTCCCCTCCCACACAGGGATGGCAAGAGACTACAAGCTGGCATGACTTCCATCTACAATGGAACTCCCAATCTTTCTCAAGGGAAAGCACCATATTACTATATAGCATTTTTTTCTTAGTGACTTAACACATATAAACTGTGCTATTGTGTTCTATTAGGTTCCTAGCTTTAATGTGTCACTTGCAAAATATTTAGTACAGTGCTCCTAACCCCATTTTCCCCAAAAATCTCTGAATTTTTTGTTAATTTGTGACAGGGTTTATTTGCTCTGTGGCCCAGGCTGTCCTTGGGCTACGTTATCCAATCAGCCTCAAATGCACGATACTTCTGCCTCAGCATTTCAAGTGCTAAGAGTATACTGGTATGCACTGCAAACCCTACACTGGTTTTATCACCAATTCTGCAGTACAGTGCTTGTTAGCAATAAACATGCAGAATAACCACAGATTCACTCTGCTTGGAAAGGTTCACCCAAAAGGCCTTAAACTGATGCTTATCTTTTCTTTAACTCCTATCAGGTTAAACTGTGTGAAGCTGTTATTACACAGAATGGCATTTCATACTACTCAACTTGATCAAACCAAGCAATACATAATCCTAATACACCCATTTTTTAAATTTCTATTACAAGCTTCATGGTGACTGGGTACACTTATTAAGTGTAAACAAAGCTTACTAAAGATAAGCTAAATCAATGTTTTGTTAGTATGAAGTCTAACTCAGTATTTCACCAAGATGTCTGCTAGCTGCCAAGCAATACCACACAGGTTCGTCAGCAAGAGGCTGCTAGAACAAAGGGACTTCAGAGAACATACGTCCTCAGTAAACCACAGATGTATGCTTGAATTGCTACATGAGTGCCTATGCCAGTGCATGTGTGAAGGCCAGAGGTCAATCACGTGTCTTCCTCAATCTCTTCTCCACCTTATTTTTTTGAGACAGAATTTCTCTGTAAACCTGGAGCTCATTGATTGGGTAGACTGTCGGTTCAGTCCCAGGGATCCTCCTGTTTCCACCTACCAGGGCTGGGAATACCAGCCATACCTACCATAGTGGCTAGCAACTCTAAACTCAGGTCCTCCTGTTTGTATAGGAAGCACTTTATAAACTTAGCCAGTCCCCCAGATCCCCATTTTAATTTTTTTTTAAATTTTTTGTCTTTTTGGAACAGAGTCTCCCTGTAGCCCCATCTGGCCTGGAACTATGTAGACAAGGCTGGCTTTGAACTCACAGAGAACCACCTGACTCTGCCTCCCAACTGCTGGGACTACAGGCGTGTGCAAATTAATATTTGCTTACTTCATCATCAGTTCAGATCATTTAATTTTAAACTGTGGCAATGACTTGCAACAGTCTTTTAGGCTTTAAATATATATGAATTAATGGATTACACTTCTAACAGAAACTGCACGCATGATCACTAAAGCAGACATTTACACAATTATAAATTATTTTGTTCCTATAAACATTACTATCGTATTGTCTGTGAGTTTATGCTATTTTTAGTATGTATAGGTTACTATCCTCTACAAGATCATGTTAATAAACTTATGTGAAAGCCAAGTATGGTGGTGAACGCCTTTAATCCCAGCACTTGGGAGGCAGAAGCAGGCGGATCTCTTTGAATTCAAGGCCAGCCTGGTTTACATAGTGAGTTCCAGGCCAGCTGGGGCTACAGAAAGATCCTGTCTCAAAAAGACCAAAAAATAAATAAAAAATGAAAAATAATTTCATAAATGTTTCCAGCAATTAATTCATTATTACGCTCTTCTCTAATTCTATGCTTGTTAACTGGATTTTCATTGTATAATCATGACCAAATAGATGAGGCAGATGGGCTGAAGGCTTCTGGCATAAAGTCCCAAGTGTTAGTAGCACTAGTGCACAGCCTACTCTAAGCCTTTCTGCTGTTCCTATACCAGACACCAACATACAGGGCCACTGCTCCGATTTGTAGCTAATAACTTCTTCCATCTCCAGCCCAGACCTCTCTGACCTTCAAACATGCTGTTCATCTGTCCACTGGCCATCACCTTGGGCACACCCTACTGACATCTCTCCAAGCCTAGGATGTTCCTTCATCATTTTAATAGCCAAATAGTGCTGCTACCCCTGAAATTGAGGACTTCCCGTGCCCGCCCCACATCCAGGGCCCATGCTAAGTCCTATATTCTCCAGCTACCTGACTTGGTCCCCAACCTGCTCGTCACATGCGGCCAGACAGAGAGCTCCCACGGACTAATCTTTCTTCGCTCTTCAGTCTTCTGCCCTTGTTTGCTCTCCATGCTGGTTCCTCTCCTCACGACATGCTGGCCTCTAACTCCCCACGGGACACGCTCTGAACTCCGTAAATTGTTCCTTCTCCCCCTTGCATCTCCACCCTCTGGCTCTGCCAAACCTCTTCAGGTTGAAACACAACCTGCCTTCTCCAGGCCTTCAGGATCCCCCCTCAGTTAAAATGAGCTCTCTGGTTAACTTCTGTTTATCTTCCACATCTTAACTCGGTCCAAAAAAAAGTGTATTTGAGTCTAAAGAGTTTTCTTGCCTTTTTTAAAAATAAACATTCATCCCTAAGGACTCAGTAAAATAACTGTATTTTATTTGTGGACATAATGAAAACACTAGTTTACATCAAAAGTCAAAATCAGAGTAAAATTAAAACATAAAACTTACATCAAGTTGAACAAATTGCAGAAATTCTTCAACCAGCTCCCTTGACACTGCCTGGACAAATGTCTCACGTCTTTCCATGACAGACGAAACTGTTCTAAGGGCACTTCTTTTACAACCCTGGTGTAAAATATAAGCATATCACAACTTACATTTGCAGATATATCTTTTCTTACAAGATTAAATTTCATATGAACAGTAAAAAAAATCTTATAGCACTACAGAAGACAGTTTTTAACACACAGACAGAATAATAATAATCTGAAAAAACATTTACTGAAGATGTTATTTTTTTCAAAAATCTGTTTTTACCAACTGTGAACGATGCTATCAGCTAAAGAACAAGAAATACAAGCTGCTTCAGGAAACGCCTTCTCTTCCTTTTGGTCTTAAGAGTTAATCCAACAAGGACAGGCTGATCTCCACAGCTCAATTCTGCAGACTGCTTTCCTAAAGGGTCATTCCTCCAAGATCCCACCAGACCATCCTCTTGTTCTTCAAACCAGAGACTGTTATTCAGAGTGAAAACCACAACAACAGCCTGGTCACCTGGGAGCTTGTTAGATGGTACAAGTGTCCCACTTTAGCAACCTCCCCTCCACCCCTATAGGATAATGAGAGCTCATGGGATCTTGCTCACTCTCCTTCCTGCATGGTTTCCCAGGAAATCCTATTTTACACTCACACCTGGTGCTAGGGTGACTTACTCAAACACATAAATCTAAAGACACGGTCACAGCAAAAGACAGCACTTATTTGTAATAGGATCCCTCGTTTTACAATGATCTCCTATACCATTATAAATAGAATATGTAATTACTGGCAATAATTATGAGAACAGTGAATCACTGTAGATACACAGTCCTGGGGCTCAATTGTAAAATGAAAAAATAAAAATAGAAAATAATCTCAATTTGACAACTCCTCATGTAAGTCTTATTTAAACACAGCCACTTTCTCAATTCAAATGGCTAAACTATGACAGATCCCTAACTTTTGATGGACAGGCAGGCAGCATCAACATTTCTAATTCAGTCACTGTTCTTGTTTACTCAAGGGGCACATTTTTGGCAAGTCACAGACAGGCTCTTCCTTATGTCTGGAACCAGCTAGCCTAGGTCTTTGTGGTCCTCTCAGCCTAGGGCTCTTGTCTGGAGTCCTTCCTAATCAGCCCCGGGCCCTTGTCTAGGGTCCGCTACAGTCTGTCCCCCGCCCTTGTCTGAACTTGTCCTGGGGTCCTGGTCTGGGCTCTCCCTAGCCGGTTCCAAACCCTTGTCTGGGCTTCTCCCCCGGGTCCCGGTTCGGGGTCCTCCCTGGTCAGCCCCGGGTCCCAGTCTGAGGTCCCGGTCCGGGGTCCTTCCTGGTCAGCCCCGGGTCCCGGTCTGAGGTCCCGGTCCGGGGTCCTCCCTGGTCAGCCCCGGGTCCCGGTCTGAGGTCCCGGTCCGGGGTCCTCCCTGGTCAGCCCCGGGTCCTGGTCTGGGGTTCCGCTCACCCCCGACCCCACCCCCGCTGCACCTCTCCCACTCGGCGGCGCGGCCCGCCAAGCACCCGAGACCGACGGCGGCCACGGACGAGAGACCTACGTTTGCCCTCGTCGCCCCGCCCGTCCCGCAAGGCTACGACCCCGTCGCCGCGCAACACGCACCTCAGCGGGACCCGGGACCCGTCGTTTCCCGCGCTCGAACTAGATTCAAACACAACCGCGCGCGCCCGAGACGCGCCCGCCCTCCAGCACGTCACCCGTCGCGGTTCTCGCGAGCGCTGACGCGATCCCGGTCATGCCCCAAGCCTGGGCCTCACCCGGCCTTTCTCCGCCCAAGCTCCGCCTGCTAGGCGTGGCTCGGAGCCTCCGGGGTGCGCACGCGCAGAGCTGGCGAGCCTTGTCCACCTCCGGGGAGCGCAGACTTAAGTAGTGCGCGTCCGGCCCACTCCTTGGAGGAATGACGCGGGGAGGATGGGGGAGTGGGTAGGGAAGAGGATCGGAAGGAGGTATAGGAGGGAGGGAGGAGGCATTGAGGGCAGGTGGTTGGAGGGGGAAAGGGAGAGTTGGAGGGGAGAGGAGGAAGAGACTCGGGTTGGAAGGGAGGGAAGGAGGAGAGAGGAGGCAGTTGGGGCGGAGGGAGCCGGACTCTCACCACTGGAGGCCTGAAGGGGTCCTGCGCGTGGATTTACCAATTTCAGGAACGGGAGAAAGAAGCGTGTGGGTTTAAGTCACCAATCACAAGAGTTTTTGTTATAGCTCAAGACTTACGAAGACATGCATCTTTCAGTTGTAGGGAGGAGCCTGCTGAGAGGGAGGTGCAGCCCCAGCCTGCCCATTCCCAGGATTCAACAGCTGCTGGTGCTCAGGCCCATGGGTGGGGCTCTGCAGCCCACCACCTCCTGGAAGAGGACTAGCCTGAGTTCTGTGGGAATGAAGGCCCATCTCATGGCCTTCCGTCTTCGTGGTTTCCTGTACCTGAACCCCACCCAGTGTACGAAGCCGGCCCTGCAGCCCCCGCCTGCCATCTCCTCAATCCCCATTCTCCCCCGCTTCTGGCATTCTACCAGCTCCCTCAGTCAAACCCCCTTTTCACTCCAGCTCTCCAAAGGAAGTCACTGCTATCAGTTCCTGGAAAATCCTTTCAGAAGAATTTCCTGCACATTCTTTCATGTTTGAGATGCCCAGAGTGTGTCCTGTTGTCGGAATTGAACTTAAAATTCTCTTTAAAGAGATGTTGCCACAGGGGCAGCCAGCCTAGCCAACATACTACTAGATGTCTGTTAACTACACCAGAGAAGCACCCATAAGTAGGTGAAGCTAATAATTTGTATTTAAACATATATCAAAAACATAATCTCAACAGTATAAAGTTGTAGCTAGGGGTAGGGGTGCTAGTCTATTAAAAAATTTGGGGCCCTGAGCAGAGCCACAGACAGACACAGAGGGCCACTCAGAGCAGGCCACACTGCTCACCTGCTTCATCCTGTAGGGGCTCCTTCCTCCCGACCTCCTCCCTCACACAGGCCCTCCTTCCCTACAACCTCTTGAATTTGCCCCACCTTATCATTTCTGCTCCTTCAACAGTTTCATCAACAGCCAAAGTGTGAACAGCCAACCTCCTCAGGCTCAGCTTCCACATCCAGATTTGGAGTGCCCTCTTCTGAGCTCCCTAACCATTTGGGTCATTTCCAAAGGAACACAGTGTCCCTTGCCTTGCTCCCTTTGTTGACTTGGTTTTTTCATTCCTAATTGAATAAGAAATGGACAATGAGTTTAGCAGAGTTCTGAAACCATAGTCCGACCTGGTGACCTGGATAGGCCAGTAACACATCTGTGCCACCATGGTTTCCCTTGTATTAAAAAATATGAACTGGGCTAGTAATGTCATTCAGTTGGTGGAGTGCTTGCCTAGCTTCGACGATGCCCTGAGTTCAGTCTGTAGCATCATATAAACAAGTGGTGCACGTTTGTAAGCAGGAAGAACAGAAGTCCAAATCCTCATTTGGCTACATAGCGAGTTCAAGGCCAAAAGAGCAATCACAGAGTCTACTTATGAGGCCTACACTTCTACGTAGGTGAAGAACTGGGGGCATGCTAGGAGGAGGGCAGTGTGAAGCTGGCTGTGGCCTTCTAGGTATGCACCCTGCCCACATAGCCTGCACCCACTAGTTATTTCCCCTGAATAACCCACTGCTAACCCACACAGCTCACGCCACTGCTTCAACACCTTAACATAATGCCCAACCTGCACTCTTCACCTGTGAAACATTTTCGCGGTCCCCTGCCTCACTAGCTTCTAGAAGCCAGGCACTGGGTCATCCTCTGTCCTAGCACAAGGCCCAGCATATCGCAGGTCCTAGACCAGTCTTCTGAAGAGATGAGTGTGTGAAGTCATTTGTTCTTAAAACCTTACAATGTGACTAATGAGGAAAGGCAGTTAAAATTACACATCACAGCAGGAATTCCAGAACAGACTGAAAGAGTTAAATTTTGCCTAAAAGGGCTGGATAGATGGCTCTGTGTTTAAAAGCACTCTTGCAGAGGACTCAGGTTTGATTCCCAGCACCCACATGGCGGCTACGAACCGTCCTTAACTCCAGTTCCAGGGGAATCCAAAGCCCTCTTCTGACCTCCGCAGCATTGCACGACACGGGTGCACTCACGTACATGCAGGCAATACAGTCATACACATAAAATAAAAATAATAAAATAATTTTTTTAAAAAATTGCCTAAAATACGTTTGATAATGACAATATCTTGATAATGGATAATGGTAAATTCTGTAAAACACAGCCTAGAAGTTATTGTTTAAGTTTGATGATTCAAATTCAAATGGTGCGAAGCATATATTAGATTCTGCAGCCCGACTCCAAGACTCACATCAGTCCTCTCCAAAGGAAGCTAATGCTACCAGTTCCTTGAAAATATCCTTCCAGAAAGATTTTCTGTCTTATGAAATTTTGAACCGCGTATAAGCCTATAATCTCAGCACTTTGGAAGCTCAAGCAGGAGGATGGCTAGTTTCAAGTCAGTTTTGGCTACGTACAAAGACAAGAGGGGAGGAGGGAGAGAGTGGAGAGAGAGAAATATAAAACTGATAATTTCAAAGCCATTCTGGGCAAAACCTTGCAGCACGAGGCAGCTATAAAGGGCTTCTGCCCTCCCTGGGAATCCAGAGCTACACACGACCCTGCCCAGTGGTGAGTCACTGATTCCAGTAAAGGCTTATAACTCATAGCTAATTAGGAAGCCTTGAAGAAACATTTCTTTTCCTTTGGTGGCTTTGTACTATACTGTTTCTAAACGTAAATTTGATCTTGGGAAACATGGGTGTGGACAACCAATCTCCAGAGAACAAGAATGAAAGAAAAAGCAGAACTGAAAGCTTTAGCAGGCCCTTGCTTTGCTTCTGGGAGCTGGGTTCAACAAGCTCTGAAGTATGACCTGAGGGACAAGCCATGCTCTGTGAAGTCTTTGGGAGGAAGGGTTGAAGCGCGTGCGGGAAGCTCTTGGGGGAAGGGGCAGAGGTGGAGAAGACTGGGTCTCCTGGATGTAGCCTCCTTCTCTGAGTGGGGCAAGGGAAGGAGTGGGGCAGCTGGGTGGTGAGGGTCAAATGTGGCCAGTGGCCTGAGCAGAGCTCTTTAAGTTCTACAAGATGTCCTACTTGGTACAGTTCTGTCCTTTCCCTTCCTAGGTTGAAATCCCCCTCTATTCTCGACCTTTCTAGAAACAAACTTAAAGGGACAAAATGATGAGAGAAGATGAGCCTGTCCCCACCCAGGTTCTTCCTGGGTCTTTTGGAGGAGACCACTGCAAAGCTAAGGTGTGGTCTTACCAAACGGGATCTCAGAGGCAGGTAGATCACTGTGAGACTAAAGCCAGCCTGGGATGGTCTACATAGTGAGTTCTAGGCTATCTGGAACTACATAGTGAGACCCTGTCTCAAAAAAACAAGCAAAGGAGATCCCTTCATGGGTAACCCCCAAAACAAAGACATCCTAAGGACAAAAAAATTCAATCATGGCTATACATGAGAATATTTTGAGTTGCTTATAAAATACTGAAACCTAGACTTTTGTCCTGACCAATTAAATAAGACCATTGGGACCAGCAAGATGGCTCAGCCAGTAAAGGCAATTGCTACCAAGTCTGGCAACTTGAGCTTTACCCTTAGGACCGACATGATAGAAGGAGATAACCAGCTCCCAAAAGTTGTCCTCCAACCTCCACATATGCCCTGTGGCACATGTGCATACACACCACACACACACACACACACACACACACACACATACACACACACACACATTAAATGAATGAATGAATAAATGTAATTTTTTAGAAAAAAATAAGTGAGATAACTCAGCATTGTATCTTTTCAACCTTTCCTGGTGACTGTGTACCGGTTATATCTCCAACCAGTTGACTGGGGTCTTTTTGCTCTCTTGGCCAGGAGGGATTCTTCCGGCATTAGCAAATGCCCAAGACTAGAAGGTAGACTTGAAGCTTAAAACTCTAGGTCCTTTAGAAGTCTGAAACTTAAGGCTCTGGGCACTCAGGTTGGAGGCTGTTGCATGGTTTTCCTGTGGAATCTCTTCCAGTTCACCCCATATGGGCAGACCAAAGAAGTGATTCTGTCCAGTTACACCCTGAACCAATGAGCTCATTGTGTTTACTAACAGGAGCGTTGAGTTCATTGTGCTTACTTACAGGAGCAGTGAGTTCATTGTGTTTGCTTACAGGAGCAGGCAGCTTCCTCACCAAAAAGCCCTGCCCTATGTGATGACTCACAAAAGCTGCATCACTAGTGTCCCCTTGGGACAATTTACAGGGAGCTATACTGCTGAAGAGTCTCCTCCCAAGCAATTACTCACTGCTTATATATCCTTGAGGAGGGGGAGGGCATCATGCAACTTCTCCCTCCCTCCACATATGAATGTTAACAGGCACAATCTTGAGATGATTACATCTTGTGCAGGTAACTACAGTTGTTCTGATCAAGATGGAAACAATCACTTTCAATTCAAACAGCCACATAACACTCTAGCTGTTCCTTTTGTTGTTCCATTCTTCTGTGATGCTCTCTCCACGTTGGAGCAGTAAAGATGTGTGATTATATAGTACAGACTGCAGGAACAGACACTTATTCCAGAACCAACCAGTTATGAGTCTGCACAATAATTGTTGCCAACTATAAAAAAATAAGTTTCCAGGCCTGAAGAATGGCTAATTTAGATAAAGGCACTTACCATTAAGCCTGATAACCTGAGTTCCAACCCCGAGACTTACATGGTGGAAGAAGGGAACTGATGCCCACA